TTAGAATTTTTTTGTCAAAGTGAAGAAAGCGAAAAATGGTGAAAATATTGAACGGAAAAGGCCTGAAATTTCCTCCAAAAGATTATTGTCAATGACCAAAAAAAAATTAACCAATTAAATTTACCAAAAGAAGAATTACCCCATTATGCTCAAAAAACCCAAGACTTTCAATTTAACTATCATTTTGGTTGGGGGGAATTATGCAGCAATAGCCACCGGGGCAATTATGACTTATCCCAGCACGGACAACATTCCGGAAAAGATTTCCGGGTTAAGGGAGTTATCCCCGAAGTAATTGAGGTCTCTTTTGGGGTGGAAAGGCTAATGTTAGCCGTATTGGAAGATGCCTACCAGGAAGAGGTGGTAGCCAGTTCTCAATTAACTCGGGAAGTTTTAAGGCTTCACCCCCTCTTATCCCCTTATTTTGTGGCCGTTATTCCCTTAGAAAAGTCCCTACGAGAAAAATCCTACCAGTTATATTGTGAATTATTGAAAAATGCAACTTTTTCGGTGGCTTACGAGGAAACCGGCAATATTGGCAATCGCTACCGCCGCCAAGATGCGATTGGCACCTATTATTGTCTCACGCTTGACAAACAAACCCTCCAAGATGATACGGTTACCCTTCGCCACCGCAATAGTATGAAACAAGAATTAGAAAGGATAAGTAGCAAAAGCATTAAAATTTATTTAAGTAGTTTATATGAAAGAAATTGACAAGAATTCACCGAAAAGTAGAGAAAGTAGTGATACCTGGATTTATATCCTTTTTTTAATTGCAATTGCATTATTAGTGGGTAGTGCGGTGTGATATTTCTGACCCTCCAACCAAAAAAAAGAATGGAGTTTTAGTGAGGAATATTACGAAAAAGAACTTGGGAAAAAGTTGACTTCCCCCACGGCGAAAGAGGTTAGTAAATTAATCGGTGGCAATCGGGCTCGCATAAAAGCCGCCAGAAGAGTTTTGGAGGATAAATCGAGAGGGAGAAAATTGTCCGCGGAGGAAAAAGCGGATGTGCAAGCTGAGTTAGACAAAGTTAATTATGAATTAGATGAAAAGTTGCAAGGGATTGTAATAGAAGAATTAGAAAAAAATAACCCGGACAGTTTCGCCGCTCTCTACTCTGAACTTTATGAGCAAGGAAAAATAGCGACCAGATTAAAGTCCAAAACCGCGGTTAATCGGTCTCATGAACAACTAATGAAACAGATGCAAGTTCAAGAGGAGTGAGGAAATTCGGTTTCGGAGGAGGAGACAAAAGATGTAATGGATGAGTGAATTAGAAGATGGTATGAGCAGGCCAGGAAAAACATAATCGATTCCGGAAGGGAAAAACTTTTGGCAACAGGCGTTTTTCCGTTTTGAGAAGATGGAAAAAAGATTGTCGAGCCTACCGAAGCACAGATTAAAGCCCTGCAAACAACGCATACTGTTGAATTTGAAGAGGGAGGGGTGAAGAAAAAAAAGGTGGTCGACTTTTCCACTCCCTTTACACTTGAATTTAATGGCTACTGGGGTTTCTTGACGGAGAAGGATAAAAAAGATTCCTCCGAAGGAAGTGAGGTTTTTGGATTAACTAAATCTGGTGAGATTCATACCATCTCTCCAGAAGAACTTAAAACCGATCAAGAAAAAGCCGCCTACGTGTATGGTAATAACCAGAGATATCAAGAATGGAAATATATTGAAGGCAACCACCGTCCAATAAGTATTGGGCTTGAAAAGAAACTTTTTTTTAATCAGTGGGGGCATGAGGAATGAATAACTAATGCCGAAAAAGACGGACCTTGAGTTTATTTTCATATCAGTTTTGAAGATGTAGTTGACACCATTGCCCATGAATTGGCTCATGCAATAGTGAATACAATAAGATTTGATTATCATGGTGAGGAAGGAGGAGGGCATGGAGAATTCTTCTACAAGACAATGAAAGAGGTTGAAGAAATAATTAAAGAAGACCCGGAGTTTCCGAAATTTAAAACTTGATGAGAAACGCCTGAAAAAGAGCGGAGCGAGTGAGCAAGAGATAAGGTTTTAACTGATGAAAAAAGCCATTGGGATAGGTGAAAATATTGATATATTAGTGGGGGAGTAGGAGTATTGGCGATTGGATTAGCGGTGGTAATAGTCTTCTGAGACAAACCAACCGGTTCGAAAAAAAATGCTAAAATTTAATGTTGCGATAGATGGACCAGTGGGTTCCGGGAAAACCACCATTGGTCGCTGGTTGGCGGAAAGACTAAATTATCATTTTTTCGATAGTGGTTTATTGTATCGTCATTTTGCCTTTTTTTGCCAGCAAAATAGTGCGGCGGAGGAAGAGCAAGAAAAATTACTCCCACTCTGAAAAAAATGGTTGAAAAAGGACAAAGCAAAGGTGGTTGCTGAGTTGGAAAAAGAACGCGAACGACTTAGTTCATCGATAATTAGTGATTTAGCCTCCCAATTGTCTCGGCTTCCAGAATTACGAAAAATTATTTTGGACTTTCAACGGGAGTTAACCCAGGAAAAGGGTTGAGTGGTGGTGGGACGAGACATAACTTCCGAAGTGTTGCCGGATGCTAAGGTTAAGGTTTTTCTGACGGCTAGTTTGGAGGAAAGAGCCAGGCGAAGGAGCAACCAATTGAAGTTAAATTCGGAGGAAGTGGAGAAAGAATTACAAGCGAGAGATGAACGAGATAAGGGGAGAGAAAATTCTCCCCTAATAAAAACGGCTGATAGTTGGGAATTAGATACCACTCATTTATCTCCAAATGAAACTGTGGAAAAAATAGTGCAACACATAGAGAAAAAATTCTTTTCAGAAAAATAATCATCAAAAATTAAAATAAGAAAAAAAAGTTTTTAAAATTATTAAAGTGCTTTTTTGTTTTTGGACTTTAATGGGTTATTAAGTAAAATTCTAATTATCTGCTGCGGTTTTCTCTTCTTTGCTTATTAAGTCCAGCACTTTATTGATGTATTTATGTTTGTTTTCTTCTAAATAGGCTTTGCTAAAATTAATGGTCTGACTGATTATCATTTTAACTAAATCGTTATTTTTTCCAAATAGTAGTTCATAACTGGCATAAGTTAATATTGCTTTTTCCAAGGGGGGGAGGTAAGAAAATTCTCAACCAGTTTTTAATTTTTTAGCAATTTTTTCACTGAGTAATTTTTCTTTTTCTAAGCATTCGTTAAGTCAAATAATCCTTTCTTTTTCTTTCTCACTCTCGCTTTTGGTTTTTTGAATGCTGCCTAATAGGTAATGCTGGTAAAGGAGAAAAATTTTTCTTTTGTCAAGACGGAACATATATTATTTTCAACCAAGTAATATTTTAGTAATTTTCGTTCAATCCGAGCGAGCAAGCACAAAAGGAAAATTTAGGACAAAAGTTAATCAAAAAGCAGTTTTAATGGCGTAATAATAACAAAAATGGCCGATAATAGTTTCTCGCCATTTTTTATTTTTCTTTAATAGTCAATAGACCAAAAACAAAAAAGCAAACTGGGTTAAAATTCCCATGGCTAAAACAACTAATCTTACTTTATTGCTACCAAAAGATGCTGGATGACGAGTATAGCCTGCGAGAGGGAAAATATTAAAAATCGTGTTTGCTTCACCTAAATTAAAACTGAATAATTTTGGACCAATTCCTACACTTATCTCACTTACTGAATTTTTGAAAGACCAAGCGGTAAAAGCATGTCCTAATTCATGAATAAAAATGTTAAGAAAACTTCACAGGTAAGTAAAAAGTATTATTCAAAAAATATCCCTCCGACTATAATTCCGTCGGTCGGTTTTTTTAACAATATAATAACAAATGGCAGGGACTAGAACAAAAGAAACAATTCTTATAATTTTTTCGATTGTCTCCCTTACCATTACTCTTGTTTAGAGGATGGTAAGACGGAGGCGAAAGTTCTATTCCCTCGACCTTTATAATATTTTACGGTGCCATTTTTTAAAGCAAAAAGGGTTCAATCACCTCCTATGCCTACGTTTGGCCCGGCTTTAACCTTGCTACCGAGTTGGCGAAATAAAATCATTCCGGCCTTTACTTTTTCTCCATCGTGTTTTTTAATCCCTCGTCTTTTGGAAACTGAATCATGACTGCAGTTAGTAGCGGCTGAACCACCCCCTTTTTTTTGAGCGAAAAATTGTAAATCTAATTGAAATATTGACATAATTATTTATTTTTTTTCTGACTTCTGAGACGATAACCAATTCAGAAGATTGCTAAAATGGCGACAACTGCTCCTCCCCCAATTAAATAAGGAGCATAATCAGGTTTCGGGGAGTTGGTTGCTGAAGTAGTAGTTTTATGGAAATTAGCCTGTAATTTTTCTAATTTTTGTTGGTCTAAATCTTTTTCATTAATTGTTTTCAAAGACCTTCTAATAATGTTGCTTTCATCTCCGTCGGGAGTAGCATAATTGAGTATTTCTTGCTTGCCGTCATTATAGATAATAATTAAATCGCTAAAAATATCGCTAGGATTTGTTAATTTGATTGACTTAATATTTCAACTTTTAAAGAGGTTTAATAAGAAACTAATATGTAAATCTTTCACGCTTTTATTGCTATTAAGATATTTATCGGTTTCTTTTTTGAATATATTGAGGATAGAGTTTGTGGAGGAAATTTCAGGCCTTTTCCGTTCAATATTTTCACCATTTTTCGCTTTCTTCACTTTGACAAAAAAATTCTAA